CCGCGCCGCGCGCACAGGTAGGGCGGGCCGCGCCGCGCCGCGGGCGCAGCGGAGCTCCAGGAGCGCCGCGCCGCGCGGGAGCCGCTTCCCGCTCCATCAGCCCCTCCATCCCTGCCCCTCCCTCTCCCTCTGCTCCGCCGGGGCCGCCTTGGTCCCTCCCGCGCCTTGCACGGGATTCTTCCCAAGTCCCATCCCAAACCTCGGTCTCACGTAAGAAGCTCCGTCATTTCAGTGAGTCGTGATTTCCACTTTTCCCCAATTACATGATAATCTCATCAGCGACCAGGTTCCTCGCAGAGGCTCTTCAAAGCTGCGCTTAAGTGGCCGATTCCCTGTCGTGGCCCTTCCATCGGTGTCTTGGGACTGTSTGTCCTTGTTACTGCCTCCCTTCGCTGCTCTTCCCTGGCGTCTCTGCTTCCGTGCGTTGCATTTATCGTCTCTCCTGCTCCTTGCCCTTTTTCATGTTGACTGGCTCTTAGTCAAGACACCCTCACAGCTGGAATTGTCTGTTTTGCTTGTGACCATTCTGGCAACTGAACAGTGTCAGCATAACGAGAAGCATTCCAATGCTCAGTAGGCCTACGGGCTATTTTACACGCGGGAAACAGGAGAGTGGAAGCTATGCCCGCAGACTGGGTAGCAAAGTAAAACCGGTGGAGAGCAGCAAGGCCTAGGKCTGCGTTTTCACATCCAAGCCTGCAGGAAATCTTTCTCTTATTCCATGGTCTCCCATCTTTTCATTCCCACTTCTAATAATTTTCCTTATTTCCCATTGAAAATGTCTTTTTCCAGTCATACATTTGGTAACAAAAGACAGTCCAGTTCTCTGACTGACCTCTCACTGGACAGCGCTTGGGATGAGCAGAGGACTCCCTCGCTCCCGAAATCCCGCGGGAAGCCCAAGAGCGCCTCGGCTCCCTGGCTCCGCTCCGGCACCGTCCCGCGGCCCTTCGCAATGACCCTGCGCGAGGCCCGCAGCAAGGCCCAGCTCCTCAGGACCCTGGCGCTGCTGGAACTAGACAGAGAGCGGCACAAAAGGCCAAGCCAGGACGAAGCAGAATGCCAGAAGCGGTTCCGGGCGCAGCCTGTGCCTGCCCACGTGTTCCTGCCTCTCTACCACGAGATAATGGCCCGGAATGAGATTCGCAGGCAAATCGCCACGCAGAAGAGAAAGGAGCTGCTGCTCTCCAGTCTGCGGCCCTTCAGCTTCCTGGAGAAGGAGGAGAGGAAGAAGGAGGCGATCCGACAGAAGTTCCTGGCAGCAGCAAGCCCAAAGGAGAGCTCCAAGCACAAGCAAGTCACTAGAGAAGTCCCCAAGTCCACGTACGGCCCTCCTCTTGGAGATAAACTCAAAGGTAAAAGCCAGGGCTGCTGCTGTGAGGAGCGCCGGGCCTCGGGGCTGGGCTGCGACGCTCGCGGCTCATGGCCGGCATCACTACGCCTCTGGGCTGCTCCTCTGCGTCCCTGCTCCTTTCCACCCCTGCTGCATGCCAAGTGAGGCACAAGGAGCATCTCGTTCCTCACTGCAACACACCTAAGAAYAGCCTCATTCTCTTAACAGTAGTATATGTATTTTTTTTTTCTAAAAGCAAAAAATAGCAAATGTTTGTCTATATTTTGTAGACATTTTATAGACATTTTGTAGACAGTTTATAAACATTATTGTTTATAGTGCAGTGCAGGGCAGGACATAGTTTTACACTATATCTCAGGGACATTCCTTCTCTGAAAAATCTGACACAGAATTACAAGACAGGATCCATCCTCCACATCCTACTTACTTCAACACAGATAAGCACTGCTGGATACTACGTAGGAAAGTCACCAGCCATTATATGTGCTGATAAAGGTGACCATATATATATGGTCACAACATTTTTGCAAGACAAGGCCAGCGTTATGTGGTACTCCTAGAGAAGAGGCCTATGTGAAGAACGTCTGCTCAGGATCTTATCCTAACATGAGGGAGAGACTTTCCTAGGGATTATTGGCTGAGGGAAGAGACACAACCCAGTTGTAGGGATTTTTGGTAGGGATTTGTTTTTCTGGTGAGTGAGGTGGGACAGGGAAAGTGTGGAAGGAGAAYACAAGATGTCTGGTCTGCTATGCTAGCAGCTCCCATCATAAGAGAAAAAATAAAGGGGGATGTTGGTTAGAGTTGTGCACGGGCAGTTTCATACCCTTTTATTCTGCTCATCCTCTTCCTCTCATTGCTTTGATTTTATCCATTAGAAGCTGAACTCCTCAGAGAAATCCGCATTCAGATGAGAGCCAAGGACTTGCTAGAAAGCTCCGTAGCTCCCATTGATCCTAATAACTGTAGGAGGGAACCTCGCTCCCGAACGGCCACCAGAACTAAGCAAGAGCGGCTCGGCTTCCTGCAGGACAAGAGCTTCAGCTTCAAACCAAGGATTAACCCGACAGTGCCCGACTTTGAAGGGCTTTACCGGGCCTTTCAGCGGGATGCAATAAGGAGATGTGAAACCAAAGAGGCAACTCGTACTAAGCCCTTTAAACTGCGGACGTCCAATCTCCGCTGCAGGCAGAGGCAGGCTAATGAAAGGACAAAGGTGAGACACCGGCGCGGTGCTGTTCAACCCAAACAGCCAGTTCATAAATTTATAGCTTTTTTTTTTCTTTTTTTCCCCCCATGGATGATTAATATTCTTTAGTGGGACCTCTAGGGCTATACAGAATTCTAGGACAAACCAGCCAAAAAATTTTACACAAAGAAATGAGCTATGGCAGTTAAGGTTCAGCCCCTCCTTCTGTGTTCCTCATCAAGTCTCCTTGCTTGTTGCTTCTGTGACCCCATCCCCATGTTAATCCCTACTGCTGGAAGACAGAAGAATGGGTGGATTGCCCATGAGTCTCAGCTGCTCTCTTTAGTAGGCAAAGAACAGGAGATTCTGTACTTTAAAAAAACCACACTAAGTCCAAATCCATTTCTCTCAGGGCTCGCAGCAACTTTCCAACGTTTCCATGCAGAAAAGTCATTCCCTGACTGGAGTTTCCTCTCTCTCTTCCAATACCCTTCCGGTGCATATTACAGATGCCACAAGAAAAAGAGAATCTGCTATTAGGTAAGTAGAAAAGTTTGTCTACAAGGCCTTAYCCCAACTAGTAACAAAAATGGAGGGGAAAATAAAATAAAGCTTGCTGTCTTCATGTTAGCTACCTTTCCAATATTTTAAATGTGTAGTGTTTACTGGAGGAAAAAAAAAGGCATTTCCACCTTTAGCTTTCCTGTCTCATTCTTTTGTATCACCAGGCTGTGTTTTATAGGTACATTCGCTTGTGTCAAGCACCTGTTAACCCTTTCTAACTGTTTCTGGCYATAGCTGGTGATCTTTCCCTGCTGGTTCTTGCCCTGCTCCGCAGCTCTTCCGGAACTGCATCCTTGTCTGTCTGAAGCTGCTTTTCTCCACTCCACATTACAAAAGTGCAATTCCCAGCCAGCGCGTGGTCTGGTGCTCTGCAGTGAACTTTTTATCTCATTACGAGTTATCATCTGTTTAGATATTCCCAAGACAACAAAAAGGAGAGGGACAAAGAAGGAAATAATTGGCTGGAGAAACACAAAAAGAAGTGCCAAGCTCTCCATAAGTCTGTGAATAGCCGAGCAAAAGCCCTGGATCCGCATGCAAGTTTGGAGGAAGCACAAAAAGAGAAGGCAAAACAGAACTGGTGAGTACACTGTTCTACACATAGATAACTGCTGCAATAACTGAGGCTCATCAGATAATTCTTTAAGAAGTATTTGGCCTAAGAGCCTACTTTCCCAACCTATTTTTTTTGGCTACCATAACCATTTCACATTTAATCRCATTTCTTGGCAGACCAGCGCTACTCTTTCCAAATGGAATAGTTTCTTCTAAGTTAGCATTTGTAGAAATAATTTTCTACAAGAGAAATGTGTCATTTGGGAAAACATATAAGATGAGGTTTTGTGAAAATATAAATACAGGTTCTCTGCTCACCCTCTAGTAGTAAAGTTTTGCTAGGGATACATAACTTGGCAGCATAACTTGCTAGAAATAGAGGGGTTTGGGCAGCATTCAGAATCCAGACAATTACCAGAGAAGTTTAAAGGACAAAAAAATAGTTATTGAGAACTCCTGGTTCCTGATCAGTTAGAGGGAATTCTGTTAGACGGGGAACCTTTCTGTTTCAGGCAAAATATCACTGAAAGAACAAAGGAATATAGAAAGGAGCTGGAAGAAATGCAGCTGCGAGTCAAGAACAGACCATACCTTTTTGAACAGGTCACCAAGGTAACTGCTAAAGTTCCACAGTTGCTGGACAACAGAATACATTGTCTTTTACTTAAGACAGGCTTTAGAAAAATATAGTGTCAGGTTAATCTTTGAAAATGAAATATAAATGTTTGTGTAGTCGCTAAATACACTCCAATTAACGCATGGAAAAGCCAGCTGAGTGTTTTTAAAATTCCTTCCCATTCCTTGAAAACCACTCCGTTTTTTCAYGGTTGTAGGGCTTTCCAGTACAACTGCAACTTCCAATTGCAAAACATATAGCAATAAAAATATAGGGCTTTATTTAAAATTAAGGCTTTAACATTCCAGGTATTGTATCAATACCTGATTCTGGCATGAGTGCAATAGTTTATAGTCTAGACACTTTATTTTCTTAAATCTTTTCCAGTGAGCATTTTTTCCTCCTATCTCTAGTGCTACTTGAAAACAACATCAGTGATGGTTAAGTCACTTTTATCACCTGCAAGCCCTGCAGTCTGTGGTTATGTYCAGCACAGCTCATCCTTAACACAGTACCCTTTGCTTATCTATATTATCCTAGAAACTTAGATACAAACCTTACTCTGTAGAAAGTATTTTTTTTTCTCTCAGCTTTCCTTTCCAATATATAGCTATATGCTGATTTAAGAGTTCACAACTGAGATATCCGGATGTTAACTGATGCAGAAAAATCTTGTGTGATAAATTTTTATATTTATGGTTGCTGGTTTGGTAAAAATTAACCAGTATCAATAGCATTCACTCAACTTGAAAGGAGGCTTCTATCCTTCCATATACACCTTAATGTTTTGGAATTGGCCAGACCTCTGGAAAACTGTAACCGGTCAGACAACATTTACAAGCCAGTAAGGAACTAAGATGCCCCTTTTTTAGTTTCTGAGGATGAGCCAATTTGAAGCTCTTCGCAAGCTCAGTTTGTGGAGCTCCGCTGTGGTCAGAGCTTACAGGTTGCAGTTGATAGAGCTTCCCTCATTCCTCACAACCCCCTTTTTTCMCCCACATATCTTCAGTTAGTGTCAGAGTCAGGACTCAGGCATGACTAGTCTGTGCACTAGTCTGACTAGTGCACTAGTCTGTTAAGACTGAGGTGTATTAAAGGCAGGGGAAGGGGAACAGAAGGCAGAGTAAAAGAGCWGAAGCAGAGGTGATCTCCTGCTTTGAGCAAGCTGTAAAATACAGTTTCCCAGTAGGAAATGTTGGTACTGAGCTCCAGGGATGACAGTAATACTGGATAGGGGCCTTGTTGCCCTGTTCTTCTCATTAGGAGTATCAGCCATGAATTTAAAGCCTGAGCAGTGTGTGGAAGCCCAGTTCCACGTGCTCACTGTTCAAGTTTCAACTCCATAGCACGGTGCTCGTCAAGAGGCAGAGCGGCACTACAGACAGACCCTGCAGCAGCTGGGGCTAAGCGAAGAATTCATAAGGAAGAAAGGAAAAGCTGCCCCTGACTTTCTGGAAGAAGATTCTAACATTCACAGGTAATAACACAGTACAACTCTTTTGCCTTTGAATAGAAGCATTTTCTCTTTTTTTTTATAAAAGCATGTCAGTTTGTATTATCTAGTGTGGGCAAAATTAAACCAGCTCTGCTCATTTTATTAAGCCTAATGGCTTCTCTGCATTAACTCCTGTGCGTGTCAGGCAAGCCTCCAACTTACGCACAGGACAAAGCAGGAAGCAAGGACATGCAGGGCACTTCCAGTGCTCAGACTTGCTCTTTCTGCAGAGTCCCAGAGCCTCCGAGCGAGGAGGACAACTGTACTGCAGAGGAAGGAGAGCTTCAAGAGGAACAGAGAAGAAAGGAGATGCCAACATAAGACCTAGCAGAGGACTCCACTGCTCATCTCTTGGTTATTTTTTTTAAGTCAAGGTTCTCAGGTTAATCCTTAGGAACATACTGTTCTAGGACAACACCTAAGAATTGCTGTATGGTGAGAGGCAAGAACTTAATTAACTCTCCATTAGAGCACTTCCTGTGCAACCCAGCTGACTCAGCAGCCTCCCTCACAAGGGATCCTCATGGGAGCTATTGCCTGGCTTTCAAGAGACTGCCTGAAATGGAAGGAAAGTTAAAAACATTCAAGCACTAGCTCTGTGTAAAGCAGATATTAAAAACTGAAGAGATGCACCCTCTATCATCAGCTCCTTGTGGTCATGCACAGAAGCCTAGAGAAGGGCCAAAATTCCTTTCACTGTGCTAAAACCTGGTTTACTCATGTATATGTTAGAACAAATGCAAACAAGATATTTCTACAGAGTAACAGGATGAGGCTAACCTCATAACAAGAGTCAGAGAGAAGTTCTTCTCTGGCATGTTACCTCTCCACTTACTAATTGGCAGTTCTACCCCTTCCTCCTCCTAGGAAGGCACAATGTCCTTTTTATATTAATGTATCTGTCCTATTCTGCTTTTTAAAACTCAGTTTTAAATCCCTATCATGTTTTTAATTTGACCTGAAAACACAAACAAACAAAAAAGCTAAAACATATGAAGGTAGTTGTAACTGAATGGTGTGTCAGTTTGGATTGTTATTGTCTTAATTCTTTTAGTACTGGTCAAGTAAAGATGCACTTTGGTGGATGCAAGATTAGGTAKGACCTGTCATAGTGTTGCCCTCTGATGCCTGGAGTCCCTTAAATGGTATAGCTGAGGTAACAGAGACCATCCCTTACCTGGTATCAACTAATAAGATTCTCCAAAATACAAGCTCCTACTACTGAGATGTTTTCTGAGTATTGTGATATCAAAGTGCTTGGAGATTAAAAGATTTTTAAATGGATATTTGATGTTTCTGTACTATTTTCATTATGAATCCTTTCCTTCTTCAATGGAAAGTGGCTCTGTTTTCATGTTCTCAAATGATAAATGACACCTACTAAGAAACTGGTGCCACACAAGTCAAAAACTGTAAGCATCGGGTATGCATGACAAGCACCAGCTATCAGTTAAACTGTGCTTTAAACTGCTGGTTGGTATTCCTGCTGTTGAAAGAAAGCAGAAAGCAGAGCCAAAGCTGAGGCAGAACCTGAATTTTTCTGCACTACAAAGGGCTTGGGAGGAGCCTTTAAGGTTTGTAATTCCAGTTCTGAATTGCCGCAACCAGCCTCTTGAAGACTATTTCTGTGAAGACGTCGGAAACTTGCTTTGATCTGATGAGACTGCTGCCTTTTGAGATTTCCAAAAACAGCCTTGTTGTGCTATTTTACTGAATCCAGATGATGTTTTAACCAGACCTTATGCCTACCTACTGTGTCCAAAAGAATCCAAGATCTTCTTACCTCCTGCTGGCAGGTTAATCTCTTCTACTGTTACCTCTCCCCTCAGTCCCATCTTCTACAAAGATTCCAAAAGAAAACTCAGCTAGGGGCTATTTAATCTGGCAGTGGCTTTTGCCAAAATCTGTAAGGCACATCAAACGTAATGCTTAGTAGCAAATATTAACAAAACTGCTGCAGATCCCATCATGAGCTGCTGATACCACAATGAATTAGTTTAAACTCAACTTAAGCTCATTTTCCCCCTCTATAAAGTTGTCCCTTTTTGGACTTTAAATCAGCATGCACAAACTGCAAGTTCTCAGCTAAAATTGATTTCGAATTTTCAAAATAATACTTGATGACATTGTAAAAAAGATTTTCCACGTGTGCAAAGAAAGAAAGAATAAAGGATTGAGCTTTAACTTAATATATGATACTAATATATGATAGTATCTTATGCACCTTTTACAAATACTACAGTGTCCTGCCTAAACAATGACAGATAAACTCAAGTTTTAGCATTGGTACCTAAACTAAAATTACTGAAATCTGAAGTAAAAGAATCAAACCCTGTTATTAAAACTTGCTATCATCTGACTAAACAAAATATTGTTCTGAAAGTAGGACTACATTTCTTATTTTTATTCTCTTAATATACTTCAGAAAATGGTATGAAAACAAAGGTTTTCCACTTTTGTTCTCAGATTTAGCATCATACTGAAATATTTTCTTATTTTTAGCTGAAAGAATTACAGCCTGTTCAATTGATCTATAAAATTACTGTGGTTAAAAAAAAATGGAGATCTCCCTTCAGCACCAACCTGTTAAGGGAGGATCAAGTGGTTAGATGGTGGCAAAACCCCATCAGGTCCCCATTCACAGACATGTGGTTGAGCCAGGACCTCCAAATTACCTTTACCAGCAGCAGCATCTTTACATCCAGCCGGGCATCAGTACAAACTCAAAGCATCCTCTTCTCATAAGAGTCAATGTAGGTACACAGGATTCTATCAAGATTTTGCTTTCTTAATAATCCTAATTCTGAAGAAAACCTTCAAGTTCAGAAAAATCCAAAGCAGCTACAAGTAGAGCAATTTGAACAAACTGATTCATCAAACAAATCTGTGTGAAGAATGACTGAGGAGAGCAGGGGAAAAAAAACCACAGCAAGTGTAATTAAATGATATTGAGTAGTACATTTATTTTAGATACTAAATCAGCTTCTGACAGTGAGATGTATTAGAATATAGTCTCTGAAGGTAAAGGTTGGAAGGCCTGTTACTCAAGACACTCAGTGTTTGTACAGTGCCTAGCACAATGAGGTCCTGGTCCTGAGCTGGGGCTCCTATGTGCCCCAGCAACACAAATGCTGCGGGCTGAAAGAGAATGGATTGCAGTAACAGTTTTGAAATGGGGCTCCACAACATGGGCTAAATGACACCTAAGCAGCAGACTTCACCCCTGAAGCTCTGCAAGAGAGAAACTTGGTCCARGAGGTCTTCTCCAACTCCAGTTTTATGATTCATTCTTCATCAACCCACCCCTGCTGTGCACAGTAAAAGCAACGTTCACTCATCCCACCGCAACATGAGGAGCCTCTAGGAGGAATAATCCATCCCACTTCAGTCACCACATATAAGAGGGCGGAAAAAAGAGCAGCTGGTCTCACCCTCCTCCACTCCAATAATAGACTCAGTATCTGGCAAGTGCAGAGACTCAACCCCGAGGCTAGGCTGAGAGTTCATGGAGATGAGATTCTTACTGTGCACTGTAGATTCTTCCAGCAAACTGCTCCCCATCAGTGACTCTATTGGGAAAATTGGGTAAAATAACATTTTTATCATGTAACGATAGTAAATCATCTACTGCAATCCCTGATGTTCGCCTTTTCAAGTCCCTTGGACATCTTCCCTTAGCACCTTTATCTGCTGCTGCTACTCTTTGGGTACTCTTTGGCACCTCAATGGGTGTTAACTCCTGTGTGGATTTTTTGAGCCTTAGTCTGGCAGAATTTCACACAAGCTTGGCCTTCTCTTCCAGCAATTCATACAGCATAAACACCAGGCTTTTTACAAGAATATATTATGAAGGGCACAAATCCCATGTAAAGAAAAGACATCAGTTACAAGTGAATTTTGAAAAGAATAAACCTATCTGCCTTTGAGAATATACAGAAAAAAACCAGCATTTTTTCTGTATTTGGATATTGTTTTCCGACTTGGACAAGGGGAGAATATCTCTCCCTGCTGGCAATCCATTCTCAGCTCCAAGAGGAAAAATGTGTTATTCCTCCCCTAGCTTGTACTCTCTTGTTTTCAGGACAGAGGTCTTCCCTTCTTTCGGACCATCCCTGCTGCACTTCTTCCCCCTACTGAAGGGACCTTCTCATGCTTACCTGGCTGTTCCCGCTCTCTGCTGCCAGCTGTCCCGATCCGGGAATGGTGCTTCCTCATGTGCACGTTTCTGCTACCACTCTGGGAAAACGTCTTCCCACAAATTTGGCACTGATGGGGCTTCACTCCTTGGAGGGGAAAAAAACAATCCCAAGCATTACCAGTTTGGCAATAAAGCCTCATCAACACAAAAGTCAGTAATAAAATTACTGTAATAATAATAATGTATAAATAATAATAATAAAATAGCAAAGGCCATTGACACCGTCAGTGAAAAATCAGCTGAGAATTACTCTTGTTTCAAAAAGAGAAATAAGTTTCCAGAACAGTTTCAGATACCAATATTACCAACTGTTGGAAATCTCGAGGCTGAAGAATAACAAAGTCTTCAAATATGATTTATGGAAGAAACTCGCTATATGGAATCTCTTACTCAGGAAACGTGGTAAAAATTGAGGTCTCACACCTAAACCAGACAGCAGCTGCAAGCAAGTGAGCAGAGGGGGGCACCTCCTCCTGTCACATGCACCCAAAGCAGCTTTGTGTTTATGTTACTAGGTAGAGATTGAACCATGAGTGGTCACTGTAAATAGACTCTCATTTTACAGAGCAGTGAATGATTTTCTGAATACAACAAGGACACTGCCTGTAAATGCAAACTTATGTCATGGAAGCCAAGGAGGCAGGAAAGAAAAGGATGGAGAACTCGGGTGGTTCCAGAAGTTACTATTTGCACCGATCTCCCTCCACCCTCCAAAAAATGCACATTTATTATGTGCTGATGACTATTGAGACAGATCAATCAAAATGTAAGGCCGAACCTTTGGAACAAATATCACACTTATGAAATTCCCATCTAATATTTTGGCCTATTTTATATGTATTTCATATATAATGAAATCCCTGTCTGCGGCACAAACTCACTCATAAGGGATTTCAACAGGAACATTTGAGAGTAATGACGTGTTAAATTCAGTATTTTAAATAAAAAAAAAGATATTAAACAGGTGTACAACTTGTGGACATTTTAGAAACATCCTATATTTAATAAGTTAAAAATCACTGTATTTGGAATTTAGAATCATGACATGTAGAACAATGTTTGAAGAAAAAGGCTACAGAAAGACCAGCAAAGACTAAAAATGAGAGGCCACGGGCACCACAGAGGAAGTGGTGAAACAACAGGACCAGAAATTCTGTAGAAAACAGAGTATTTTTTGAAATATACCCTGAAAAAGCCAAATCAAAGCTCTACAGTAAAGACCTCCTCTCAGATAGGGCTTAGCAGGTCATACGAAGGCTCCTACCTGAGTGGACAACCAAATGTTTTCGAAGGCTGGAGTATTCAGCGAAGGAGCGACCACATCCCTGTGCCTCACACAGAAATGGTTTCTCCCCTACAAGGGAAAAATAAATTCTTAGACTTTTGGATCTTAAGTTGGGATCCAAGTGCCTCAGAGCAGACAGAAGATCTCTATTCAGTTCTTCCTTTTGGCCTTACACGTATCAAGGTTCAACAAAAACGACACGTACTATTCCTAAGGCTTTTAAAGCATCCTCTTTGGCARCTTTCACAAGGGTATAGTGGAAATTCTTTTGGAAAGGTCATCATTCCTGAAAGGCAACCAGGGACCTCTATTTCAAAACAGATTCTTCCAAGCACCTAAATACCCCGGCAGCAATAAAAAGGTACCAGGCATCCAACATACCATTTATATATGCCTCTTAACAAACAGCTCTGCCTCACACACTCGCATGGACTCTTCCCCTTTTGCCTTCAAGGGCCAGAAACCCCATTCACCCCATTTCCCTTCAGATCAGACCGTACGCTTTATTTCTGAACCAGCTGATCTCCCCCAAAGACCTGGAAGAGGAACAGTAATCCAAGGGACAATTTATCCTCACAGGGCTAAACGTGTTATTTTATGTACCTCCCCAGCTAGTTTTGTATTCAACTAAGTGATAATAAACAGGTAGATGTCTACACCAGTGCAATGTGACCTAATTATCCTGCTCTAATCCTCCTTTTAATTAAGCCTGAAAGAAAACTCGAGCTAACTGCAGCCTGCAAAATCTCACTGAAGAGCTCGGCACACCGTGTTTAACACTGTGAGCTCAAGTCCTTATCAGCAGGACTTAACAGCAAGTCCTGCTGGATACACTGCACAGGAGAGCAGCAAGGCATTTTAGCTGCTCCTATTGTGTCTGCCAGCTGTACAGCTCTTTTGGAGTAATCTTAAGGTCGCTTTTACTATGATTTTGTCTTTGCAAGTCTTCTCTCCCTGCAGTTTACTTCTCAGCTTCATATCTGCTAAAGCATTCAACAGATACAAGCAAAGGAATAAATGAAGCATGTTGTGCCTGGTGGTGTAGAGCTGAAATAACAGAATCCTGCATACTACTTTTATTCTTCTAGATTACTATAAATATTTAAAACTTAGGAAAGGCCAAGGAAGGAAAAACTAGCACGGACAAAAATACCAGCACACAGTTCTATCTRTAGCAAACTCCAAGTCTATTCAGAGCTGCAGTTTTCAGGCAGCTTTGGTCTGATCAAACTCATTATCAATGTGYCATTTAGAAAGTTATTTTTTAACTCGAGCAGGAACAACAACTCCATTCATTGCAGACCATATTCTGTCACGGAGGGCTGTACATGTATCAGCTGGGCCTGCCAGCTCTGCTCATGTTGTGGCTGGGAGCTTGAAGTGCAGAAGAAATCCAAGTACAAAATATGGCTGTTGTACCTATACATGCAAAAATTTACTATTGGCAGATATAATTTTTAACTACATTCCCACATCTGCCCACAAGCCATGTGTTCTCTAGCTAAACGCCAAATTGTTTAAAAGAGCAACCATACTCTATGTATGTCTAGAAAGTACATAGCATATGGTAGTGTTAAATAAGACAGAAAACATACACAGCTGATAGCAGCCCACATAACGTGAGATTTCATTTTACTTGGGATGCCTTGTGCTCTCGTAGCCAAGCAGGTTATTTGAAAATCTTAAYCAGCTGTAGTGCAAAGGTACCTTCCTGGGCTACCGGGGTCCCTCTAGTAATGTTCTCAGAGGCCTGAACTGGACCATTTATTGCAGTGCTGTGATAGCTCTGAGGCTTAAAACAACTAAGCAAACTCCCAAGAATGTTCATAGTCAACTTTGTTAGCTATTAAATTGCTGTTGTTTCAGCTGGAACTTGGGTGCCTCTTTGAAATGCTTTTCTGGGATAAAAAACACTTAAAAGACTGTGGAGTTGTCAACAAATATTGACAAGGCAGGATGAAATTCTGTAAAGAATGCAGCATAAACAAACCATGCATAAAAAAACATTCCATAAACCAGCTTTATGGAATAAAGCTTCTTGTTTTATTTAATATAAAAAGCTGACCATGAGTTCAAGTACAGAGGCTCCACCATATATAACACCCCTGACCGACATTAGCACCAAGCAAAAGTTTGCATGACAAAATACTGTCTTCTAATCATTGCGGGKTTTTTTTTTCCTATTAGACTTCACTGCTATATGTTTTTATACTCATTCCACTCTTCCTCACCTCCCTAAACTTCCTGTATATAGTCATTCTGCAAGCAGCATAAATAACACAAGGCAGCCAAGACTCAGCGAGATGTCAGCCCAGCTATGGCTGAGTTGAAGCCAGACTCTCCACTGGAGATGGATCTAAGCTACGGTACTTCTCAGGAATTTCAAACAGCTTCCTTATGAAAATACTTACAACAGTGGTGGTCACTTACTATTCCCTTGGGAATTATCTCCCTCTTCCCCCCCACCTTCCCCCACCCCCCAATTAAACCACCAGGATGGAGAGGGGAAGAGAATCTTCAGAGCATGGATCTGAGAATCGGAACACGGCATCATCACAGTACTTGAAGGGCAAAACCCGTACGACATTATATAGAAGAATAAAAGGGGAAACAGCTGACTAATTTCACCGATAGATCAGTGTGAATTGATAGGAAATGGATGCTAATGAAGGTTAGAGATTTATAAACATAATATTCACACAGTTTGAGGCTGAAGTGTTTTTTTTTTCCCCTCAGTAAACACCCCACCTCTGCAGACCACAAGTAGGTGAGGTCTAAAACACACCGGTGTGAATTCGTAGGTGATTCTTCAAGTTTCCAGCTGTTGTGAACTGCTTTCCACAGCCCAGCTCCGTGCACACGAAGGGCTTTTCACCGTTGTGAGTTCTCATGTGCACCTTCAGCCTCTGTAAGACATAAAAACTTTTTCCACAGCCTTCTGCCGGGCAGGTGAAGGAGCGATCGTTCCTGGAAAGCAACAAAACAGCTGTTTCATAAGCAGCTACTAAAACGTGCTTTTTCCATGAAGAACCCACTTTCTTGCTTTTGTTCAAGTAAAAAGMCAAAACATACTAATTGAAATCAATTCTATCCAAAAGTGAAATGATTCAGTCATAATAAGGACCTAAATTTGTCCTAAGGAACTACCACATAGCCAGTCTGTGCCGTCCAGTGGAATAAGTCATTAGATGTATCAAACTTCTTATTCTATTAGACAGCCCACTCCCTATCCAGAAAGATTTGGCAAAGCTCTGCAATACATTACAGAGGAACATTGTGGAATTTCAGTAATTAGATGTTCAAAAATGATTGTGCCTGTAACACAAAGTACCTGTGGTTTTTTGCTGACCCTGCCTCGTGGCAAGGCGTTGGGCTCATATTTCTTGAGTCCTTCACAGTTTTCAACAAATGATCATTTGTGGAGAGCAGGGAGTTGTCTACAATTTACCTTAAAGACCAGTGATTTTTCAGATAAAAGAGATTATGGTCCTTTATTAGGACAAACAGCTTTGCTCAAGCATATATAAAAATACAGTATCATCCCACAAATTCTAATGTTCACAGTACCACAGAAGTAGTGTATGTACATGGTGRTAGTTAATTACCTTTACTAAGCACCTGTTAAAATAGAAATGTTCTACATCTAGCATTAACCAGCATTTGCAAAAATAATCTAAATTAGACATTGTCTAATTTTTTTTAGACATGAAGATGTCTAAAAAAAATCATGTCTAAAAATCAGTCTAAAATCATTAGACATGTCTAAGTCTGCAAAATAATCTAAATCTTAATAATCTAAATCAACACCCTGTGAAAAGCCTGAAAAGGTGTTTCAACGTGACTGAATTATAGAAAGCAACAGACTTACTATTTCTAAGAGTAATGTCAGGTTTTTGCAGCTTGCTGATGCTGGAAACCRATACTATCCCAACTACACGGGCTGCATTTGCAAACTCACAAGAACACAGAGCTCTTTGTGCTCACCGGTGAGTTTTCAGATGATATTTGAAGTGTGCTGGCCACACAAACGTCCGATCGCAGCCCTCAACCGTGCACTTCAGCTTCCTTTCCACACGAGATAAATGAGGAACGGGGCTAGAGTCTTTTGGCTGCCCATCTCCTGAGCAAAGATGAACATTTTCACCTGGAACAAAAAGYCCACCAAGATTTAAAAGGAGAAAGATTACTATAATGTGTCAAATCTAGTAGATAAATAYGGCATCATATGAAATGTAGGTGTGTAAGGCAGATAAGCTTCTACTTACTAAGAGCTCACCATGCCCTACATGCTGCTACCAGGCCTTAAAAGGGAACAGTCACATTCATGAACCTTTCCAGACCCACCACATTGCTGCTTCCTGAGAAAAACTGAGTCCATGTGTATTAGAGAAAAATATAAGTGATTGTTCTGCATTGTTCTCTGTCATTGATCATTTGAGGCCACATCAAAATAGATTATAAGACAGACAGAACCAGCACAGATAACCTCAAACTACTGAGCTGAGTTCACAACAGCTTTACATAATACATTGACTACTCTACAAACAAGCAAACAGTGGTAGCTGAAACTAGGGTCCTTGTACAGAAGTTTCAACTTTTGAGACAGAATCTGGAGCTCTCCTACCATTATTGCTTGCTTTGGCATTCTTGGCGAGCTGCGCCCGCGTGGCAGCAATTAAGCTGTCATGGGCCAATTCTTGCACTCGCAGGAACCACGGGGTGCTGCTGTCAGTGCTGTCGTGAGAGAGAAAGTCATTCCCAGAATCTTCTGCTTCATCTTGAACAAACACCAAGTGTTCTGCTGGAGACCCCAGCCCTAAAAAAGAAGACAACTTCATGGAACAGAAGGGCAATGCAACAGAGGGCAGTTTCTTTTGCTTCCCAGAGGCTACTGTTCTTCGTGCACGTGTAGTATCTGCACTGAAAAAGTCTACACCGACCTTAGCCCTGTAGGAAGCTGCTGATGGTTAAATGCTCCTGACATATCCAATAATACCCAGCAAATCTTGTGATCCTTCCCCTTCATAACAAGCAGGAACAAAGGTGTACTTGCACCTCCTGCATTCTGTAGTCTAAGACATATCCAGCCAGATGAAAAACAGTAGGAGAATTACCTGCTCTTGTTAAGTTGAGAAGAATAAACGAAGTGCTGTCACTGGGCTGGAGATCTTGCAATAAACTGGAAGTCTCTGAAGTTGACAGAAGCTCTGATGGTTTCTGTACATTCTGTGCCCTTGTTTCCTCGCCATCAGGACCCACATTTACCTGGAGACTTCTCAAAACAGCAGATGACGAAACATCTTTGGAAGAATTAGCGTGACTCGGAGACGCAAGATCTCTTTCATCACCTAGTGAAGCAAGTGAAACCAGGGAAAACAGGAAATATACAGTGACTTAAAGATACCCACAAAGTTAATTTTCTAGGGGAAGCAATTAGAACATGAGACAGGAAGAAGAAAGAATTTTTTTTATCTAGACAAACTTCATCATTAAATGAGAAAAGCTGCAGTCATCCTCCTGAGCCTTTTCCTCCATGGCTGGAATGTCTTATCAGGAAGCGGCAGGACGTCATGTGCCGCAGTGCCGCACTCAGGACCCACCACTAAATCTGTTCCGTGGATTTTACCTGGCAACATCAGCCTGTTGCATTCTGAGGTCTCAGTGACAGGGAGGAGAGAAAGGCAGGTGATGTCTTTTGGTTCCGACTCCACCAGCCCTTGTCCCAGTGGAATAGAAGTATTCTGAACAAACTGAACCAGCAGCTGAAAAGAGAAASTGAAGATCAGTTCAAGAGTAACCTAAGGCATTTATAAAAAAGTACTAAACCCACCCATCAGTCCATACTGTYTTGTAAGAGACAAAGAATATACTCTTAACACATCCAGAAGTCAATGAAAGCTTTTCAACTTATATCAAGGGCCAAGAATATATCATTTGCATGTGTCATCTGTGAAATACTTACAAATCTGTCATTTCTTTAACTGCTCTATATAACKGTGGACTAAACACTAAAGCTAACTTAGATTTTGGTTTTTAATTCCTGGTTACTATGCTCTAACCTTCAAAGTAAAAGTTTTCCATCCTTTAGTATATTCTCAACTTTCAAATACAAGTTTTCCATGTTCAGCCTTTGACTCAGACATTCTCATTGTGTTCTTTCAACACCTAACTGAAGTAAAATTGGCCTTAAAAAGAAAAGAAAGGCTAGTTCCTAGTTGTAAATCTAGACTAATGGCTATTCAAAATAGGCAGATAATGATCAGAAGTTGGGGATGACCAGATGAAGGGAGACAACCCATTCAACCCAATCAGCTACTCCTGGAGCCATCCAAAGSGAACAACAGAGGCCATTGTCGTAGGTGTGGAACCCCCCACTAAGAGGAGTCAGCAGAAGAAACTCTCCCAAAGGCCATGCAAACTAAGTGGGACTGTAGCCTAAAGGAAAAAAAGGACTTATTCTGGAATGCATTCCCTGGGGAGGAATTTGGGGACTGAACAAGAGGATTTTAGGACTGTTTGGGATTACGGTTTATTTACCAGAAAGACCAAAGGCGGGAAAAAGGAAGGATCAAGGGGCACCGTGACAGACCAAGCAAGGGAAAAAAACGAAGGGGGAATAAAAGCWGCCTACTAGAAGGCTAGTTCTTTCACTGATCTGCCAGGTCCTGCACAGATTTCCACTATCTGTCTCGTCCTCTCACTAAACTTGACCCCAAGCTATCGCCTACCATTGCTGTACCCTCTAGCCTGTGTGTGCAAGCTACTAAAAACATCAGGTGAGAGAAGCTGGCAAGATGAGAGGTCCAGGGCCAAATACAGGAGAAATCCATGAAAGAGGTTTTCTCTAAGCAGCAATTCTTAGCAAGAGGATGGAGCTATTGGTGCTCTTTGTGTTTATGTGGGAAAGAGAACTGCAGTCCTCTCTCAATCTGTTTGTCATGAGCTACATCTGTGCTCTGTGTGTGTGTGTGTGTGTGTGTGTGTCCAGCTGAGAATTGCTGGTGTCAAATAAACCTCACTACTGGGAACAGAAACAGGCATCAGCCCTCATCTTGATGGGCCCAGGAGGTGAGAAATGCCCAGCTCATTCAGTTCAAAAGACAGAGCTATCAGTCAGGTAGGCCAGTGTAAAATTTAATTCTGGCTAATGCCTTGATATCTTGAATTCCCAATAATTTTGGGAATTCCTAAAGAATTCCTAAATTTTGGAAAGAATCACTTAAAGCGTGCAGACAGCAAAATGTTTCTGAAATACTGAATTATCTTTCATTTAAGTGCTCTCTGAGATCCCTACAGCTGCCTGCTCAGCCATTTAATATATATGTTTTACAAATTCTTTTATCTTCTATTTTTACACAGAATGCTTTAAACAAAACTTTTGACCTACAACAGGAAAGTTTTGCTTCAAGCTCTCCATCAATACACAGCAGCACTAAGCCAGGAGGGAAAWACAAAAGGGAGCAGCCACAAAAGGATCATGGAAAGAAAGGGCAGCCCTTTGATTTTCTTTGCAAAACAATATCAAGCTATAAAGACACAAAGGGGCTAGAAGAAGCAGCAATAAATAAAAGGCCATGAATCACTGTTAAAAACTATAATAATAAAAAAAATCCTTCCCATAAATTAAACCAATCATCAAATATACTCTCCTGTCTCTACATCAAATGATTACATGAAAATATAACTTTTTACGTGACTCAACAGCTAAGTACTTTCAGAAACTTGCCTTCATGTTCAATATCATTTAATACCTGTATAACATCTACAATAATTGCAGATAGTGGAAGAAAAATCATTACAAAAGCTGTAGAGTGGTTTATGTTTCTTCTAACTTATTAGCAATTGACAGCAAAAAGGAATTGTAAGATACTTGATAATTGGGTATTCAGTGTAAAATACAAAGACAAGCAGCAGGAGAGGTAACAAACAGAGATGCACAGACCCTAACTGCCCATAGGAGAGCAACAAAGACCAGGACTCCTGGGACACTGATGCATGGCCCTTACAGAGAAAGCTTGAGCGAAACCTCTAAGAGATTCAACCATAAACTTGGCAAACGATAAGAAAACAACGTTGGCACCAGTTACCAGGTGAGTCTCATAGGAAAGAGTAAACTGAGAAGGTAACGTGAGGAAAATTGTGGGATTTGGTAAATTGTACTATGTGTTGCTTTGCTTTACGGGGCGGTGGGTGGGAACATGAAAAACTGAGCCCATGTTTAGGGGAAGGATGAAAGGCAGGAGAAAGGGAGGGATCAAGGGCAGAACAACCAAAGCAAACAGGAGGAGGGGGATAAAAGGGGCTGAGCAGGGGCTAGCAAGGTCAGCATGGGCTGCACTGCAGTGCATCTCATCCTCTCGCTAAATACCGTTCCTAAAGTTTCTCAATACTTATGGTCAGTTAGTAAACGTCACATTGGACTAGTTTGCGATTGGATTAAATCACAGCCTGGGAAGACTCAAAATCCTGGCCAGAGACTGGATTAAAAAACCTCAGGGCCTGRAAGGTGGGGGGATGAAGCCAGAAAGATCCATGAAGGTGAGTATGGACACGAGGTGAGTGCGGGCACACGTGTGACACGTGCTAGGGACCTTCAAGGCCCGGAGCGAGCAGCAGGTTCGGGCCACTTGCAGGCTCCACGTTTTACGTGGGTGCCTGCAGAGCTACTGTCCTCCTGCCTGTGTTAAGATGTTTATACCCAGATGGGTCTGTGCTGTCTGGGTGTGCAGGGAAACATCTCTGCAGCTCAGGTTCAGCATCGCTGCTGCCTGCACCTGGAACAGTCCAGTGGCTTCGTATCTAGAGCACCAGGAGAGCAGGGATCTTGTGGATGCTGCACACAAATCCAGCATCACAAACAGGATCCAAACGGGCAGTGAGGAAGATTCTGAGTGTACAACCCTTATGCAAAGGGGGCACTGAAGCTTCTGCAAACGTGCCCAAAATACAAGAATTTGTAACCAAACTCTTTGGGCGCCTTAGGGGCACCTGAAGGGAAGAGTTAGGGCTGAATTGACAGAATATTAAAAAAACACAAAAGCAATGATATGAGTTTTAAAGTGGCTTTACAGCCAAGCTCTGCATTAAAATACATATATATATTTAAACAAATTTTGACATYGATGAACTGCAAATGACCTCTTCAATTCAGAGATTCAACCTTTACAGGCCAGATGCGAGTTGTACATAGACAATCTATGAACTTGGGGAAGGACAAAATGAACCAAATGCAGTTCTATGTTCCTATGAGAAATTGGACTTTCTGGGTTCTGCCATTCCAGCTTCTTGAAAACACCTTCCTTAAACTGCTTCTGCTGAAACACCACTTAACCTTGGAAATGCTGTAAGTAATGTAAATGGCATACCTACTAAAAATGTAAAATATTTCCTGGCTCTTGTCACTAAGGAAGTAATTGTCATCCCGATTGAGCTACAGGAGATAGACGAGATGTCAGCCACCAACAAGGAACAGCCCAGGGCCTCTCACTGCAGGCAATGCAGCTTACTCACGTCACCAACAAGAATCTGATACTGTCCTTGACATGAGAGAGGAAAAAAGAGCCAAGAAGAGACTCATAGGGCAGCAGTGACCATGTTTTCCAATTCTATTAGAACTGTTCTAAGTTTAACCAGTGAACCACTAAAGAAAAGAGCTCAAAATAACATCTACTGGATCAGGGACAAGGGAGGGTTGGAGCAAAAGAGTGTGGATGTAGGAGGATTATCATCTGGGAAGTGGGATGCCCTCCTCCCATGCATCTCTGGAGAATGTACTCAGGATCTCCCCCTACAAATGGCTGGTGRGGAGAAAAAGGAAAGCCTAAAACACCTTCCTCCATCACCCTTTGTACAGCCAAATTCAACTTATTGACTAGAGCTGGAGTTTACTTGATTAACTTGATTATTTTAATCGTACTGGAGCTATTCAGAACACAGAAAGCACCCTGTGGTGCACCTGTGCAGTGGGCATGGCTGGAATTATTTGCAATTGTAACAAATCACCTTAAAGGTTTAAAATATGCAAAGTGCAGATCTTATCAGTGCCTGTGGAATGCAGGCAAGACGGCTTTGGGGGCAGGAAATGCAGAAGAAAAAGCAGTCACACCTGCCCACAGAAACCACCTCCAAGCAGCTTTTCGACTCCTAAGCAAAGGAGAATTCAACTCCATTTAAATATTGAACACTTACACATAGGTCGGTGCTACTCATGGAAAAAGCAGTTAAAGCAGCAATAAAACTTCTGCAGTCCAGCCGTAGTGCCTTGATCAAAATAACCTAATATTCTACCTCTAAAAAGCAGTTAGCTCTTAGCAAAACCCTTTTGCACATGTAGGGGACATCAAATAACACTGGTGAGTGTGAATATTACGTTGCCATGGCTTATCTGGGGATATAAYCTCACAATAGTCTTTCAGAGATAACCAGAAACTTGAACTGCTGTTTGGGAAAGGAGGCCCCTGCAACTACTGTAGCTCTTGTGCAGGGGACCTGTTCCTGCTGAGTAACTGTTTCATCTCTGCTCTGGATTTGCTGGGAAGGAAGGGTAACCCTGCTGTGGGAAAATAAGACAAATACCTTACTCAACAAATCAAGAAAAATAAAAAAGGCGGGGGAGGGTGTCTAACTTAAAGCTCCTATTTGAGGAACACGTGTTCTCAATATCCTAGCCACTGGTAATGAGAAATAATCTATGGCAATCTGCCCACCCCCACACTTAAGCAACAAAGTGCTCTACCCTGGCATTGAGAACTGGGACAAAATTCAGCRCTAGCTGTGACACACCAAAGACAAGACAAGCAAAAAAGAGGAGCTCCTTATAGCACAACCAAGACTACCCCATTAGTAGCTCCTACACAGAAACTATGAACTTGCAGCTACTCCTCCTGAATAGTCTGGAAGGACTTTGGCTGCTCTGTTAAGAACAAACATATCACCAAATTGCCTGAGCTCTCAAGTATTACCAGCATAACAATCATCTCCTTAGAATATCAGTTTATCTATGTCACATACAGACTGGAAAAAAAATACAGGAGAGTCAACAAAACAAAATTTATTTAGACTGTCAAACTCCCCTCAAAGGTACCGCTCAGCTTTGCTGCGTCCTCTGCTTCAGGACTGCAGCCCTCTGAGAGGTAAAATTCCAGGGGAAGCAGGTGATTGTGTATAGTATTTTTAAGTGGAGAGCAATTAAAGACAGCTGCTTAGTGGCTATTCAGCATGAAAGACAAAGGCAGGAGTTGGAGGMAGTCATGAATTAAACATGAAGACASAACAGTGCTGAATGTAGCAAACTGTGGGTTGTTGGGTCTGAGCAACAAAGAGTAGAAATCTGGAGACCCTGAGCAATGAGCCACGTTGAAGGGGCTCAACTAGAAATATCATTACCCAGGAAGAGTAAAAGATTATCCCTAGTTACCAGAACTGATCTCACCGGAAAAAAAATGATCTTAATTTAGGATGCAAGGGGAACTATAGGAATGTGCAGAGCTCATGGGATGTTTAGGGGAAGAGTCAAAGGAAAGAGAGACACAGCTGAGGGAACAACCATAGAAAATGGGGAGGGGAGAGAGAAAAAGCCAGTCACACATTATGAGGCTGCTGATCGAGATATTTTTGTGCTTTTTTTGTGTCCTAAACTCTCTTCCTATTTTCCACACAAGCAAGCATTCAACTAGCAAATTTCTTGTCAGACCAGCCTATRAAGAGGAGAAAGCCCCAATCTGGAAAGCCCCAAGGCCTAGGCAAGAGACAGGATTAAAGAGCCTGGGCACAGATACCACAAGGACTTCCGATGTGGCAGAGCCTGAAGGGATCGGTGAATATTTCCATGTGAGTTAAGGTGCACACACATTTTCCACAAAATTTAAGCCTTCTTTGTTCAGTAAACAGGAAAAGGCTTTTTGCACTGTTTGTATTTCACGTGAACAGTTTGCTCACCCCTGGAGGTGCCACGCTCCCATCTGCATTAACACATTTGCAGGCAGCTGAGAGGGTACCATGACCCTTCACATGTGCAGCCAGATCCACGCCGCAGTTTGGGCTCTGCTCCTGATTGAGCCTGGGAGCAATCGGGCAGCCCCTGCACCCCATCACATCGGGCAACTCCCACAGAGGTATCAGCACTTTAAAGTGAGAACCCGCTGAGGTCAACAGAATATTCCCAAATCCCCAAACCAAGTACTGTCAATCTCATTTGAAGGAAAGAAGTAGTCAATATAAGAACTTATTTATTCCTTTAACAAAAACAACATAAGAGGGTAGGAGGAAAAGAAAAAAAATAGTGTAACCTCAAAACGGGCAAAAGTACTGGCTGAAATTCAAAAGGTGGAGGGAGAATTGCAGTGTCCTTTAATCTTTTACCATTTGAATCAAAACATTGTAAGATGTCACACTGAACACAYTCTGGGAATTCACATCTAGGCAGGAAACTAAGTATACTCAATTAAAGATTTTTGTTTGTTTGACTGTTTTTAAAGTGGTGATAATGAACTTTTCTGGAAACCAAACCAATTTCATAATTGCTCACCTCAGGTTTGGATTCTAACTCATCCGATAACATTGATTCAAGTTTCCGATTTCTGCAGCTATCCTCAGCAAGGCACAATTTTGTGAACTCAGAGAGAACAACACTCCCTGTTTATTCTCAATTTTCCTAAATGAGAAACAGTGTGGTGGTCTTCCTGCAAGAAGCTGTGTTGGGCAAACATTCGATTTAACCTAAAACAAACAAAAAAATAGGTATAAAAGAACAGGAACCGAAAACTAGGGGGAAAGCATGTCAGGTGGCGCTGCAAATAAGCTTAAAAGATATCTTGAAAAACAGAGAAAAGCCTTACTTATCCACATTTCTGTCTTTTTATTACCACTAAGCCAAAAGAATAACATCCTAATGCTGTGAAATTCATTCTTAAAGATTACTTTGCAACTTTCCTTTGCAATATATAATTATCAGTTAAGTTTGTTCTGGAAAAGCCTATGTGGTTTTCAGCTGAGAACCACACGAAAAGCACATGAGATGAGGAGGCTGAATCCGCAGCCTGCCCAACAGCAGCACTACCCCAACTGCTGGGAGGGGGGAGCACAATCCGTCAGGAAGGAACCTCTGCTTTCTCTACGCGAAGATGTTCATCTGGTTTCTGACGGTCACAAGTTTCTCGACGAGCGAGGCGGGCTCACGCTACCCGTGCACCTCTCACCCGGCCTCTCTTTAGGCGTTATTCCCCCGGGCGCCCCGGATGGTCCCTCACGCTTTCGGGCCGCAAGGCTCGGTCAGCCCGCRCCTGGCTCCTGGCTCGGCCAACGGCGGCGGCTCCGCGGCCGCGCAGCGCCGAGCGCGGCAGCCCCGCCGGCGCAGCCGGCAACGGGGCGGGGGTCGCAGCGGGAAACGGGAGCGCGGCGCGGNGCCCCGCCGGCGCAGCCGGCAACGGGGCGGGGGTCGCAGCGGGAAACGGGAGCGCGGCGCGGGGAGCTGCCCCGCTGCGGGGCCGGCGCCGCCGCGGGCCTGGGTCACCTCCCCCACCGGGCGCTGCCGCGAGGGGCGGGCCGGCCCCTCCCCTCGCCTCCCGGGGGGCCGCTGCTCCCCGCTCGGCCCCGCGGCGGGACGGCGGGTCCCGAGGGGGGCGGCCCGGGCACCTCCCCCCCCCTCCCCCGCGGTTCTTACCGGCATCTCAGAGCCGCCCGGATATGACGCGCATCGAACCGGAAATGCCAAGAGCTAGAGGTGGGGAGCGCGCCCCGCCGGCTCCCGCTCTATGGTGAGCGCGGCGCGGAGCGCCCCTTCCGCCCGTTGCCGCCCACTTCCGGACCCGGGGACGGTGCTCGGGGGCGGGGCGACATCGCCGGAGGCCCCGCCCCCAGCCCCAGGCCCCGCCCCCGCGGGCGGCTCCCGCCACAGCCGGGGCCGCGGTTACCGCGGGGCCGCCGCTCGGGGCCGGCGCGCTGCTCGCGCGGACGACGCCCGCTTGCCTTTTTCTCAGTGTAAACCCTCGCGGAAGGGTTGCGCCGGCTCCCTGCAGCGCACGCAGAAGCACTCGCTTCCCGTCGGTATTGAGCTCCCGGTTCCGTTTGGCTCCAAAAGGCCCCGGAGCAGCGGCTGAGCTCGCGCCGCCCGCAGAGGGAAGCGGGTCACGTTAGCCAAGCCCGCACGCCACGTGCCTCACAGGAAGCGCTGAGCTTCCCGCTGCCACCCGCCTTGGCGATGGCTCAGTACCGGATCCGGCCATGCCGAGGTGGGCAGGGAGGACGGCAGCACCGGCGGCCTTCACGGCTTCACCTGCCGCTGAACCAGTGACTCAGCTCTGGTAAAGCTTAACTGGGCTGCGGCTGGTTTGCAGCTTCGGAACTGCGCGGCAAAGCCCGGCTCCTTGGGCTCGGCCTGGGCCTGGTCTGCTGCGCTCCAGGAAACCACCGTCRCCTCTGCCTGCCCGCGGCGGCTGGAGCTTCCCAATCTTTCCGTCTCTCTGTGGCCTCCAGGCCTTTTGGCTGTATGGAAATTTTGATTTGCAAGCTTAAATACTGAGGCAGGTTTCCCCCCTCTAACTGTCCAGCTGTCCCACTCATGGCAGGCTAAGAGCCTGGTGCTTCAGTAAAATAAATAAGTAAAACGACCATGAGAAGCGCGATCCCAGCTCACTACAACTGCTGATCCAGCCTAACGTGAGAGAAGTACCTGGAAACGCAGATCTAGTCACTTCACAAATGATTTTGTCTTCGTGTCACTTCAGTAATCCCAGGCACTGAGCTGTAAAGCTTGATTACAGATTGCGTCCAGATAAAGGTACTTGGTAATTTTAGAAGTGCTTTGACTCACCCTGAGCCCGGCAATGTAGTTGTTGAGCAGATGTTAAATATGGAGGTGACTTCCTCTCCTTTGCTGAGCTCGGCCTCCGCCTCAGACCCTTTCATCTCCCACATCTTTCCTGCCCGAGGAGCTGAGGGCTACTCGGAGAGGCCAATCTGCAGTGATGGGAGCAGGGTGCCTCTTCCCTGAGTCACCCATACAGATGCACATCGGGAAACAGAGCTGGGCCCTGGTAGGACAGGGATTGTCCAGGTTGGAATTTCTGGCCCTGTTACTTTCCCAATGACATCTGCTGCCTGGGAATGCTTATTGCTGATCAAGGAGGAACAGCAGATCCAGATCCAATTCCTCAGCCGCCACTTTCAAGAAACAGAACAATACTATTTTTTTTTCAAGCCTGCTGTGAGACAAGGGAAACTGGGGAAGACAGGCCTATACGTGCCGCTGAAAACTCCCATTTCTCAACTAACACACGCCGTTACGTAAACTCTCGTGTACTGCAAGTCGATGTAGGCAGTGCCGGGTTGTATTTACTTCAGCAAGGCTTCAGAGCAAGTTCACGGRGCCCACACGAACGACCGAGACTAAACCCGCCCTGCCGCTCGGCCTTCGCGGCATCAGCGCTTGGGGGAGCTGGGGAATCTTGCCGCGGCTCCCGCCCGCCAGAGGCACCTTCCCGCCGCGGGGCGCTCTGCGGGGCCGCGCGGCCACAGGGCGGGTTCGCTTTCCCGCAGCGCGGCGCGCCGGAGCGGGGCGGTTCCCGCCGGAGCGGGGCGGT